TGGACAGCTATAATCCCAGTATATCGAGCTTCGAGCTGTGCACCACAACTAGTCAGGGTATGAGTAATTATCGTGAGCGGTGTATCACATTACATAGGTGTGGAGGTGGAACAGACGTCTAAGTACATCACCATCCGTCAAGGGAAGTACGCTCGCAAAATTCTGAGTAAACTTGGCTACGAGGAGACACACAGTGGGAAACCCGATGGAGGTGATCGCGAGACTGAATCCGCTAAGCAAGGATGAGAAATCAGACACCAGCTTTCCGTACCGTGAGGCGATAGGAATGTTGATGTATATTATGTAGCCACAAACACGATATCAGATTTGGCGTTCACACTGAGTCAGCTGAGTCGATTCGTTGCAAAGCCACCACCGAAATTCGCTGAATGTGTAAAACGTGTACAGCGTTATCTAACCGGCACTCTCGACTATGGTATATCCTACGGGAGACAATAGTGTGCTGCTCATGAAGTAGTTCTTGAAGGGTACTGTGACAGCGGCTGGGCGAACGACCCTGAAAAAAGGAAGATCACGACGGGATTCGCGCTCATGTTGGCGGGAGGCGCAATAGCATGGATGTCAAGACGACAAACAACCTTTGCGCTGTCGGCGCCCGAAGCCGAAAACGTGGCAGCGTGCGAGACAAGTATGGGGGCGATGGCAGAGAGCAATATATAGAAAGAGATCCTACCTCATCACACCATAAAGCTAGGAGTCGAAATCGACAATCAAGCCGCTCATATAATGGCAATAAGTCCTATTTACAATCGTCGTATGCGCCACATGTAGCTAAGGTAGCACTACGTGCGTGAACAAGTGCACAAGGGCGTCGTTGAGCTGCACAAAGTGAAATGGGAGCGAAACCCCGCCGACACGCTCACTAAATTTTTGGGTAAGAAGCATTTTGAGAGCTGTTCGTGATTGCTGGTATTGGGGATGATTAGCGGTCGAAGGCTGATCTACAATGTTAAAGACCAAACTTCCAGAAGGGCGTGTTGGAAAATTCATTGGAGTCCTGTAGATGAGAAGAGTACTGAGTAGCTACGAGAATCAGGTCGTTGTACGAGGGAGGGCTGAAGTCCGGGAGTGTTGGTATGAGCTTCAGGGGGTACTTAACTAAGATTGAATTATCAGTTTCCCATATACTCTCTTTGCCGCACCCTAGTCTACCTGGAACGAGTTGACACTCCAACAGATTTCACTCCGATGGTGCATTCTAATATCTAGCGCTCACCTAATATCTCCTATTGATGACTAGACTCCTCGTCGGGTAAACCAATTATATTTATCTCTGGATAACCGTGGCTTTTTGGTTAGAAAAGCTTAGTAAAGATAGAACCAATACAGAATGTACCCGAATTACTGGCATTATAGTATAACCCAGCAATTTGATGGCCCTTGGGCGGCATAACAGCGGCGCTGTGGTCAGTTTACGTTCCCGTCGCAATCGTCTTTCTTTTTTTTACCATCACAAGCTGTCATCTTCAGGTGGAAGATGCACGTCTTGCCATTGTTCTTATCCCAATGCACTTCGATGGAAGCAATTATTTAGCTTGTCTCCAATTCGATAAACTCCTTAGTACCACCTTTCCCACCGTGGACGAGCTTGCCAACATCCTGTAGAGTCATTACAGTAATACCAAGCGCCCACTCCTCGTATTTCCCGGCCAGTCGGGAAAGTAAGAAGCTAACTTTCGCGCCTTGCGCCTCGATCATCCTCGAGGCGATAGCGATGTCGATTTCGCGAAACCAGCGATTCAACGGAAGGCGATTCGCTCCTTCACTGGAGTAGGTTGACGTCTCCAACTTGACGATGTCATTCTTCGAGGAACGCGAGGGAGTTGTCGCTCGTCGATTCGCGTCGGCGAGCTCGCGTTTCATGAACCGGTTTGAGCCGAATTATATCCGGTTTGATTCGGATAATTTTGGACCGAGTCTAACCGGTTATGATTCGAATCAAATTCGATTTTAACCGAATTTACTTGACCCGTTACATTCCCTAGGTAGGAGGGTTCAATACGTGTTTCTTCTATAAATATGGTTGCCACCGCGCGGTCCCTATACCAGCAGAGGTACAGACTCTTGCATCCTTGTATTTTTACAGCATTGTGTAGTATTATTAATGATTTAATATTAAGGCTGTCCTCGCTAAGGAACACCATCTAATGCATATAATTTATCACATAACGTCTGCATACATGTACGTTCTAGATGTACAAGGACGCTGGAGAAAAAAAGGCTCTCCTACACCATTTCACAGTCAAATTGAGATGGCTTCCAATAAAAACGAGAGAAACTCCAAATAAAACGAGAACACATGCGTTAGATAATACTCGTGGGATTATATTCTGCTTCAGAAATTAATCTATGCACCCACAGGCATGTCGTGCGTGTGGAGAGCACGCGCATGGAATCCTAGCACGTGCGCCGCTTCACTTTCTCATTAGTCCGGGGTCAACATCGTTTACCGTTAGCATACCAAATGGGTTTATGTTTACAAATACCAAGGCTGGGTCGCAAACATGACTGGTGAAACTTGTCTATGACATTATACAATTTTATTGAGTTCCGCCAACAGTGTTTACAAACACCAAGGCTGGGTCGCAAACAGGAATACAGAAGTGTGGTAAAGCTCGTCATATGTTTTTATTGGCTCCCACGTTAGGTATATTAGGTGAAATGGGTGCGTCGATGTTGCTATTGGGATACGAGTATTTGAATTATTTCAATTATGGGATACATATTTTGTGCTGTTTTACTTACACTTTTACTGACTATGATAAAAGCGTAAAACCTGGCAAAATTAGACAGGTATCGCTCAATTGATTTGTGTTTTGTCTAACTACATTGATTTTTACTTTTTAAAGACCCATATTTCTTAGAAATCGAGCATCCAGTGAAAAGGACACCAGCAACAAATATGCTAATTTCTTTCTTGCATGTATTGACTCAAACCCTAAAATGACAGACACCGTCGTAGCCGCAATACATAAATATGTATTAAGTAGTTTAAAAGGGACGCACCTGATGACCTGATACGATAATCACTCATAAAATGTAAACAAGCGACCTTTTTTGTACATTCAACGTGTACCTGTACCTTTATCGTCAAGGTCTCGCTTCAGCAACTGTCAAGACTCAAAGGAGCCCACGTCGATGCCTGTCATTTCAAATTTTACCCGATGCATAAGACAAGTCCAAAAAATCTGCTCAGCTGTTTCGTACTGCTATCGGCTCTCTTCCTTCTGGAACCTGTCGGTGCTGGCCCAGTGTTAACTACGGTATCCAACAGGAGCTTCCTCTCAAACGAAACTTCGAATGGCGCTGTTAACGCTGACATTAATCGGATGCAGACATGGTCAGCAAAGGATGATGAGTCCGACAAGTCGGAAGAGAGAGTTGACATCAAGGTGCCTGGCACAGAGAAGCTTAAAGGTATAATCACGTCTGGGACTACAAAGCTGGAAAAACTCGCAAGCCGGGTGAAGAATAGACTGGCTTTCAACGACCAGAAAGGCACCGAAGACAGCGTAGCGAACCTCGGTGTCGGAGCGACGGCGGAGCCGAAACGTATTTGCAAGCACATCGGTCCCCTCTGTAGCCGGCATTAACAACCAGAAAGCTACTGAAGACGGCATGTCGAAGCTCGGTGTCGGAGTAGTGGAGTCGAAACGTACAGACACCGCGCTGGCTCATTCTGTGACCATCATCAACAATAAAAGACCTGAGCTGATCGAGGAAGGCATTTCTTACAGCACTGACCGCTCAGTATGGCGATGATGCCCTGACCAAGCTACTGGTAGAAGCACAAAGCCCAGGCGCATCGCATGTTGCTAGGACGGTTAAAGCCATCCAGTTCGATAACTGGGTTACTCAAAAGAAAACGGCGGGAGATATCTACAATCTTCTGAAGCTAAATGTTGAGGATGCTGACTTTTTGGTAAACCCATTGCTGCCCACCTGGATCTCGTTCGTGAAGACCAAGCTCAAGGAGGATCCGTTTGATTTCTTGCTGCTCAAACTCTCAAAGCATTACAAAGAAGACGTACTAGCTAAGCTGTTGC